AAAAGATTCCCAGGTGATTCTAATGTCCAGCCAAGGTTGAGAACCACTGCCCCTTAGAGTGTCGGCAAACTCATTAGTCAACAGATCCAAATATCAACAGCACAACGATTGAAATTTCTTTTCAGAGCCAAATTTTTTTTAACAAACTATATAGGTAGGTACATTGTTATTAACTTAATTAGGGTACTCCTAAGGCTTAGGAAGAGCCACACTCAAGGGGCCAAAGAGCCGCATGTGGCTCTCGAGCCGCAGTTTGCCAACCACGGCCCTAGACCTACTAAATCAGGATCTCCGTTTTAATAAGATCCCCAGGCCACTCTTACACACCTTAAGATTTCAGACACGCTGCTTGAAGCAGTTCTGACCCCCGGCTGCACATTAGAGTCACCTGGGAAGCTTTGAAGACGTGCCCACGAGAAGGCCTCGCCTCATCAATTAAGTCAGAAGCTCTGGAGATGTTTTAAAAGCTTCCCAGGTGATCCCTGCCAGGCCAGTGTGACTCGGTGTCAACCTATGAACCAGGAGGTCACAGCTCCATTCCCGGTCAGGGTCCATGCAGGTTTCGGGCTCCATCCCCAGTGTGGGGCGTGCAGGAGGCAGCGGATCCATGATTCTCTCTCATCATTGATGTTTCTCTCTCTCCCTCCCTCTCCCTTCCTCTCTGAAATCAATAAAAATATATTTCAAAAGTTTCCCAGGTGATTCCAACACAGGGTGGGCCGAGAACCAGCCCCCTAAGACAGCTGTCATTGGGCCAACGGGTGTACAGCCAGCGGGTGGTTCAGAGACCTTCAGAGCAGAGTATAAAGTGGTGCTTCCACTTAGTGACACTTCACATTTCCCAGAATGCTGTCGTCACATCCTCTCACAACAACCGTAGAAAGGAGAACGGGCAGACAGAGTCAGACCCAACTTAGAGGTGAAGAAATGGAGGCTTAGACACTGACTTGCTCGACGTCACACGGACAGTCACAGAGCTGATGGTAGAATCACACCTCTTAGGTCAGGCTCCTCCCTCCTGTTCAATTCTTAGAAAAGCTGTGCTCACGTGTCTCAGGTAGGCGTCTATCCACTGTGATCAGAGCGTCCTTCAGTAAGGCTTTCCCAGTAGCTGTGGTCAGATAAATTGTAAGGAAGTGTTGTCTCACTTTCAAGTTGAGAAAACTGAGGCACAATGGTGGTGGAAAATGGTAGCAGTTTCTCCGTCGTTAGAGCATGGGCCTGAGGACCAAAGGGTCACGGGTTTGATTCCCGATCAAGGGCACGTACCTCAGTTGCAGGCTCGGTCTCTGGGTGCATGCAGGAGATAAGCAATCTCCTCACATCAATGTGTCTCTCTCACATCAGTGTGTCCCTCTCTCTCCTTCTCCCCCTCCTCCCTCCCCTCTATCTCTCTAAAAAAAAATTTTAATTTAATTTAAAAAAGGCAAGAGTAACTAAGAGTAAACTAAGGAAGGGTGCAGGGTCCCTGGCTCCCACCCAGTCCTCTCTTCATAAGGTTCACAGAATAGGTTTGATAGAGGTTAGACGTGATGGTTGCCATGGTAACCACATTCATACAGATACCCACCCACATGAGATTTGCTTGGTGGACAGTCACCTTCCACGCCCCCCACCCCGGCCCCCGCCTCAATCCCATAAGAAAGTACGAGGGTCATAGAAAAAGCAAACCACTTGCCCAGTGCTGAAGGCCTCCCTGGAAGCAGGCAGGCCATCCTCCACCCCAGCCTCCGATAATAGGCGCTTCCCAGGTGACCGAAGGGAGTTGCTCTGAGGGAGGCCAAAGGAGCAAGGCCTTACCCCCCACCCCCACCCCCCCAGTGGTGGAGGATGCCGTTCGGGCCCTGCAGCTCCAGCCTCCGCTTCTCAGCCTCCACCTTCAGCTGGTAGATTCACGTCGATCTTGTCTGGCTGCCTCCCCCAGTAGACCATTAAATGCTCTTGAAAAATAGGCTCATATCTAGAACGTGGCTACAGCTCCCTGAGGTCCCACCGAAACGTTGAACTGTTCAGTTCAAAAAATAAAGGCTCGTTGAATTGAACCACATCCCTGCCCCTTTGTTGGGGTCACAGGGAGGTGGGGTACTCCCGGCCCGGCGAGGGGGGTCATCCAGCCTCGGGACCTCCTGCCGCTGGTGCTGCCCAAGCCGGGTTCAGGAGGGGGCTCTCTCCAGCGGCAGGACCCCAGCTCGGCCCCTCTCGCCGCCTCGGACGTCACTCCTCCCTTTCTCCTCTCTCTGCCCAGAGGGGCCTCCCCTGCCCACCCCGGTCCGAGGCCCCCGGCAGGCATTCCAGCCACTTCCTAACACACTGGGAAACAGACGCACGCTCACTGAGGTGTCCACCCCGCCCGGCCCCGGCCACCTCTGAGGCCTCCACTTCACGCACCTCCCAGTGCAAGCTGGGAGCCGCCTTTCCAACCCCAGCCTCCCGCTTCTGGGAGCGGCACCTGGACCCGCCGCTCACCTCAAGCTTCCTGCCTGAGGAATGGGAGAACAGCCAGATCACTGCAGGGAGGGGCAGGAAGAGAAAAAGGACTTGTCCCTCCAACTCCAGAGTTATCATCCACTAGTGACTAACCAGATGACTTCCTTTCGGCCTAGAAAGCCCCTCCTCCTTCCTCTCCCGCCCTCACTCGGCAACTCTGGCTGGCCTCTCCCACCAGCTATTAGGCACACACTCGTGACATTCCAACTCCCCCAAGAAGCTCTGCAGAACACCTTAGGAGAAACATGACTACTCTATCTTGGTGGGGAGAGGGGGAGAGACTCAAGTCTCGTTACCCCCATTACAATCGCATCTTTTCCCTGCAGACAAAAATACATCATTTATCTGACGTGATTCTTTATATACAATTGTGGCATCTTCTCCACTAGAGGGCGCCTCTAGAGTTATTTATTTGTAGGCTGAATCCTCCCAGAGGGCCAGGGGACACCCATATCCTCCTCCATCCGTCCCCCACAGGCCCCACCAAGGCCAGGGCAAATGCTCCTTTAGTTCGTAATTCCATTCTCCCCTGAAGCAAAAGAGCTGCCACCTCCCTTTTCTCCTCAAGTCGAATGTTCTGCGTGGAAACCTTGTTTAACTGCTTTAGATAAGATTTGGAACTTTCGGCCTGTGGTTTCCAATTTGCTGGACGTGAAAATGACCCAGGGAGCTTTAAAAAATAGATCACCCCCCAAACCAATGACATCAGAACATCAGGAGGTAGGAGCCGGTCGTTCATGTTTTTTTAAAGATCCCAAGAGAGTCCACATCAGAGCACGCAGCCTGGGGAGCAGTGCCTGGGGCCTGCCTCCCCACCCACAGATGCCTCCTCCCCGTCACGGCCACAGCCCAGGCCAGTGTACCTTGTCCGTGGACTCAGCTCACGCAGGTCTCTGGGTCATCTGGAGTTCAAGACTTGAGAACCTAGCGGACTTCTCACTACTTACGTGACCTTGCAAGTCAGGCGTTGACCTTGGGGCCTGGTCCTCAAAGGCACCTTTTATCTCATAGGCAGGGTCTGGTTATTGAACGCAAACAATAGCAACATTTACGGTGCGCTCGTAATGGGTGGGGCGGTGGAATTTACATCCAAAATCCCACTTCATTAACAAAGCCCAGACAGGTAACCTTCCCAAAGTCGTAGAGCTGGTAAGTGCAGCAGGACCAGGGTTTGAACCTGGGTCCCCAGACCTCAGAGCCCCTCTGTCCCTCACTCTGCAGTGGGTTGCCTTCCCCATGCTTAATCCCTGTGACCAACTCTCCCGGGTGCCCCCATCCCCCAGGAGGGATCCCCACCTTCCTCTTTTCACTCTTTCCCTACTTACCAGTTTCCTGCAGCTCTTGAAACAAAGTACCACAAACTGGGTGGCTTAAAACAACCCAAATTTATTCTCTTACAGTTCTGGAGGCTAGACGTCCAAAGTCAAGGTTCGGGCTCCGAGGGGCAATGCATCCTGTGTCTTTCTCATGGCTTCTAGGGTTGCCAGCCGTCCGTGGTGCTCCTCCGCTTGGAGATGCTCACTCTGATCCCTGCCCCTGCCTTCACGTGGCCGGCCTCCCTGTGTGTCCGTGTTTCCCCGGGGCCTTCCTATAAGAACACGTCATTGGATTGAGGGCCCACCCTAGTCTAGTATGACCTCATTTTAACCGATTGCATCGTGGCAAAGAGCCTGTTTTCAAACAAGTCACATTCTGAGGTCCCAGGTGGACACGGATTTCAGGGAGTCACTGGTCAGCTCCGTACACCCTCCCAACCCCAGGGACCCAAGTGTTGCTTCTGACCTCGTTCAGGTGACTGGGGCCGGCCACCTGCTGACAAACCTGGATGCTGATGGCCTGTGGTCCCCTGTCCCAGCTCCAGCTCCTGCTGCTTGCCCAGCTGCTTCTGGACAGCTCCCAGCTCCTGCTCGCCTCGGTGCTGGCCCAGACGCTGGCCCTGCCCCATGTTCCCTGCCTACTGCATGTGTGCCCCAAAGACGCAGGACCCACATCCCTAACGGTCTGGGGCTGGCCAGACACCTGCTAGTTGACCAGGGAGGAGGAGTTCTCCGTAAAGCCCCCCGCTTCCCCACTGTACCCCCCTCCACTGGTCTTAACTCTTTAGCTCTGAGGTTAAGTGCTTTTTTGTCTTTGCTATCTTTGCAGGAAATGGGTATATTGAAGGTAAAGAACTAGAAAACTTCTTCCAAGAGCTGGAGAAGACAAGAAAAGTCTCTGGCATGGTAAGCCCAGCCCCCTCTCCCATTGTGTGGGATTTCTGTCATCTGACCATGGCTTTTTTTTTTTTTTATTGACTTCAGAGAGGAGATGGAGAGAAAGAGAGAAACATCAATGATGAGAGAAAAATCATCGATTGGTTGCCTCCTGTATGCCCCCGGCTGGGGATCAAGACTGCAACCCAGGCATGTGCCCTGACTGGTAATCGAACCATGACCTCCTGGTTCATAGGTTGATGCTCAACCACTGAGCCATGCCAGCTGGGCTGACCATGGCTCTAAGCATTGTCCTAAGCTATGCATCCCATCAGCCAGCCTGACAGCTCCGGTCTCAACCCTTAAAGTTTTTCTTTTATTTGTAAGGATTTTTTTAAAATGGACTACTCCCTAAAAAGAGTACCATATCTCAGCATCACTGTATGTCTGGGACTGAGGGATATTCATGAGGGACAAAGGATTATCATGGAGACTATCCTGTGTATTGTAGGATGGTTAGCGGCATCCCTGGCCTCTACACACCAGATGCCAGTAGCTCCTTTACAAGTTGTGACAATCAGAAATGTCCCTGGACATTGCTACATGTCCCTGCAGGGGGAGGAGTGGGGAGCAGAATCGTCCCACTGGAGAACCACTTTCCTAAACGACAAAGGCTGGCATCCTCAGCAAGGGCCTAGAGGAAAATGGGGGACTGCTCCAAACCAGCATCTGAATCAATGGAACTGGCTGGCCTCGTGTGCGGAGGTGTCAGACCGCCCTCCTTAGCTGCCAGAAGTGTCTCAGAATCTTGTCCCAGCCCCTGAATGGCAGGGATGTTGTTCCCCGTGCCAGCCCGGTACTGTGGAACTCACTAAAGCCTTTTGGAGGAGCGTCTGAAATGTTGAAAAGGTGAGGTGATTAGAACCATGCCTGGTCCTCAAATATATGGAGTCAGACCCACTTCCTCCCCCAGCTCTGGAGGGTCCTTTGGGGGTCTCTCTACCGCCCCCTGCTGCGGGGCTGTTGGCCAAGCCACTGCTTATTAGCAAGTCTTTGTGGAGCAGTTCTGGTGATGAGTCACAAATCCACCACTGAGCTCCTGGTCCAAGGCTCAGCAGAGCGCTCCCGTGAGGAGGAGGTCCAGGCAATGGGCTTATGCGATGGAGGCGATGCAAGGGTTTATCAACAGCTTCCCCATCACCCCTCGTTACCAAGACAATGAAGCCTGGATCAGAGACAACAAGGGCCCCACAGCTGACTCTGGGATTGTGGTGTCGGTAGAGGAATGTGTTTTATGAAGGGCCCCAAATCTGAGATCCTTCCTCAGAGGGCATCAGGAAGGTTTTCAAGTCTGTCAACTACAGTCTCAACTGACATCCTCCCAGGTTGGTTGAAGTCTTTTCAAGTCCATAGAGCAGCTGTTATGTGATAGAAAGAATGTAGGCCTTGAGAGCAGGAGCCGTGAGTTCATGTTCTGTCTGTCCTAACTGGTCGGCCCCAAGAGAAGTCACTTCACCTCGGCTTCCGTTTGTGGGTAGAGTGGACAGGCTCCTCACGGGGGACCCAGTGGCAAAATCAGCCTCCTCTGTCTTTCCACAGACGTCCAAGAGTGACAACTTGGGGGAGAAGATGAAGGCGTTCATGCAGAAGTATGACAAGAACTCAGATGGGAAGATCGAGATGGCGGAGGTGAGTCCTGCTGTCCTGGCTCCGAGCTCTGCGGGCAGGGCCATGTCACCTGGGCCTCTCCCCGGCACAAGCACCCATCTAGGGACCTAAATGAGGCGGTGACCTCCAAGCCCCGCCCCCGGCCTGAGCACTTGGGCTGACCCACAAGGAAGGAAGCAACAAACGTTGGCCTAAGACAGGGATGAAGACCTCAGATGCTCTCAGGGTCCATCGGGTATTGTAAACGTGTGAGGAGCCCAGCTGAAGACAGAAGGGAGGGTGAAGACTGGGGAACCGGAGAGTTCGTGCCCCACGTAAAGGCATCCAAAGGCAACATTTTTTTTTAAATGCAAATTTTTTTATAATATAGGGGTGCGCAAAAGTAGGTTAAATTACCAGCCGGAGTTGACCAGTGACCCCCTGAAATCCATGTCCACCCGGATTATAGAGACAGAAGTGAAGCAGATTTGATAAGTGTTTGGGGATCGTGGGTCATACAGTCTCTGTCATGACTCTTCAACTCTGCACTGCCATTGTGGCGCAAAAGCAGCCCCAGACCGTGTGCAAATGCATGGCCATGGCCATGTTCCAGTACAAGTTCACTGACAGGTTTGACCCAGGAATCACAGTTTACTGGAGTCTGGCTTAAACTACGACGAAAAAGGCCGTGGGTATAGGGTTGGCTCCAGGTGGGGGAGGCCAGGTGTCCAGCTCTGCTTCTCTGCAGTTCTCTGGGCTCTGTTCTCGGCCCCTGAAACAGCTTCATCCTCGGGCTGGTGGCAAGCTGGCTGCAGCAGTTCCGGGCATCACATCCACATCCAGATGCAGAAAGGGCTCCTCTCAGTTGGTGCCTCATAAGAGCAAGGAAGCCTTTCCCAGGCGTACCCTCAGCAGACCTCCCCTCACATGTCATTGGCCAGGACTAGGTCACCTGCCTACCCATAAGCCAATCACTGGTGAGGGAAATAAGATTAGCACATTTACCTGAAACTAATCAGGATTTGCCTGTGACCCAGGATGCTGGCAGCAAAAGGCCGGGCAGGGAGGGCTTGCTGCACAAGAGTACCTGCATTTTTTTAAAGTCCGTTGGGGTATAATTTACATACAATAAACTGCATTGATTGAATCGACTTGAAGTGTCAAATTCCGTGAGTTCACACAGTTGTAGACAGGCATGTAATCACCACCAGATCGAGATTCAGCATTTCTCTCACCCCCCAAAGGTGCCTTCGCCTGGCGCGGGCCATCAGATCACCTTGCATATCCTAGGAAGTTATGTGTAGGGAACCATCAATTCAGTATGCTTTTGAGTCTGGGTCCTTGGCTCCACTTTCTGTCCCTCCAGCTGGGGTGACAAAGACGCAGTTCTCCGAACATCCTTCTGCCCCTTCCACAGGCTGCTCTCAGGAAGGAAGCAAAATGCGACTCCCCTGCTGCCTCGCCCCTGGCCATTTCCCGTTCTTCCTAAGGGGACGCCTGCTCTGCTCCCCGGCAGGGCCCTCCCTAACGGTGCTGTCGCTCTCTGACCCACAGCTGGCGCAGATCCTGCCCACCGAGGAGAACTTCCTGCTGTGCTTCAGGCAGCATGTGGGCTCCAGCGCCGAGTTTATGGAGGTGAGGCTGAGGCGCCGCCCTCCCCGTGTTCAGAGCCGGGCCCACCCGCCTGCCTGGGCCTGGTCCCTGGGAGATGCTAGGCTCCTTCGAGCGCAGCTACTCACAGTGTGGTCCGTGGACCCGCACCGGCAGGGTCACCATCCTGGCGTGCTCGTTAGAAGCACTGAGGCAGAACCCAGTCTCAGGAGACCCCCGGGTGGTGTGTGCACATTAAAGTGTGAGGAATAAGGCGAGAAGCAAGCCGAGGTCAAGTGCACTTGGGAGATGCTGGGTAAACGCCAGCTCCCCTTTGGGGGTTTGCATATTCTGGGCTCCAAATCCTGCAGCAGAGAGACCCTGGCACTGGGTTTGGCTCTAGGATCACCCGCACTGTCTTCCCTCTCAGTGCCATCTGTGTCCCTCAAGGCCAGGGTTCCAAGGAGGCGCGTGGGGAGGATGGAAACGCCCAGTGAGAATTCCAGTTCCCCGGCTCTTCCAGGTTTGCTCTGTGACTGTGGTCTGGGCTTCATTGGCCCCTGTTAAATGGGCGTTACCGTCTGCACAATAGAAAGTCTTTAGATCAGCGATAGAGGACACCCAAACGCGAGTGTCTTTTGAGCCATAGTCAACCAACAGGTTACACCGTGTGAAACTGCTGATATTTAACCATTTTTTACTCATAAGAACTGGAATTCCCTATGGTTCCACCAAATATATGACTAATCCTGACGGCCAGCAAACCACCAACTATTCCTCGCTCTTTTTCCGGGGCTCTGCACCCTGGCCGTTCCATGTATGTGTCCTGGGAGGGAAACAACCCATGCCCCGCACGCCCCGCACACCCCGCACGCCCCGCACCCCGCCTGCTGTGATAAACGGTGACTGGCCTTCAGTTCGACTGAGTCGCCATTCGTCCTGTCAAACCCATTTCCAGCCGCCAGTCACCCCCTTTCCACGAGTCGCTGCCTCAAAGGACTGGGGAGCGAGCCCAGCCCCACATCACAGTGGGTTCCCCACAGATGGCTAGAACGGGGGTTAGAAATAGCCTGCTCAGGGTCGGGGGCGTCTTTTCCAGTGGCAGCTCGCCTGAGCATCAGAGGATTGAATTTTATGGGGCTTTAAAAGGTTGTCTCCAGATGGCAAAATTCCCTACGTTGGTAATTGACATTCTGGATTCTGTCCTCAGCCCTTCTCTTGCCTGTTTGGGAGAGGAGGTGCGGGTGAGACGGGGGTGCGGGGTGCGGGGGAGGGGGGTCTGCATAGACTTTAAACCTGCCAGGATGCTGCTTTTGAGAGAGTCCATGTTTCTGTCTATAGAAAAGGCGGTGTTATGCCTGACTGTTCCTTTGGCCTGGATTCCATCTCTGATCTGGAAAATGTGGATGATGGTAGCTGGCAGGGGGCAGAGATGCTTAAAGAGGAGCAATGGCCTCTCTCTCTCTCTCTCTCTCTCTCTCTCTCTCTCTCTCTCTCAGAATTAGTGGTTTCTGTGTAGTTGACATCATTCCATATTCCTGCCCACCTTTATCTTCTAAGCCCCAGCATAACGGCTGAGCCAACACCCCCCAGGTTTCCGGGGACCCCACCACCCTCCAGCAGCACCCTCTCGGGGTTGGCCATTTGTTCCGCTTTTATCCGCTGGAAAGATGAAGCCGTCCCTCGGCAGCCCTGGAAGCTATGCTGTCAGACAGCGCCCATCCTGCTGCTCAGCACAACATGTTAATTTCTAATTTTAGTGACACCTCGGGTTTCTTTGAGATTTCACAAAGCCCAAGCCTCTTGAACTCTTCCTTGAACGGGAAGAGAATAATGACACACTGATGGATGAGCACAAAGTGCTGGAGGGCAGAGACGGGAGCGCCTGAGGGTGGGGGTGGGGCGGCTCCGGGGAGGGAGGCGGAGGGAGGGAGGGAGGGAGGCGGAGGGAGGGAGGTTAGGCCGGACCTGCTGGGCTGTTCTCACTCCCAAAAGCAGGCAGATGCTTTGCTGGGTGCGGTGGGTGCCCTGCGAAGGTGGGCTCCCTTCAGGTTATCCTCCCTTTAGGGCATTTGGGGACCCTCCCCCCACCCCACCGTCAAGACCCAACCTAGATGAACTCAATTCTGATGCACTAAAATGCATGCGGGTGGGCTGGTGAAGTCATATTTGAAAACCTGCATGTATTTCTTAGTGCTTCCTCGGGGATGGGATTTTTGCCTCCCCCCTCCATCCCCCCCCCCCCCGAGAATATCCACTCCCCTCATTAAATACCATCAACCCACATCATCTGTATGTGAGCCCACACTGCTATTGGGTCTTGCTCGTGTCTAATAAATTTTCAAAAACCAGGACCGGGGGTGGGAGGAGAGACCTTTCTTAGGAAAAATTTAAATTACATTAAAATAAATTAAAATCAGAAGCAACTTTCTTGAGCCACTACTGTACTATGGGAATTGTACAACCCTGTTTGCTGGAATGGAGGAAAGACCCTAAAATCTCTATAATCTCTCATCATTCCGACAATAAAAGGAAGATGATATAGAGAAGTGGGGGCAGGAGATCAAATCGAGGAAAAGCATGAGTGCTCGCTGACTCTCGGAACATCGAGTGTTGCGGTGTCTCTGTGTGCAGTTGAGGGAGAAGGGAATAAAAAGCAAGAAGAGGAAACTTGAGAAAAAGATCTAAGAAATATGATCAGGCACCAAAATAGATGAAGTACTTAGAAAACAGGCTCCTCTGGGCCTTTTGTCACAGATCCAGGCAGCCCTGCCCCAGCCCCCATGGTATTCCCTCCTGTCCACCGGGTGGATTTGGTACAGCCTGGGGTTTGGGGGCGCTTGCCTACCTCTAAAGATGGAGTCAGCCCCTCTTGAACCATGTGGGTTGAGCATGAGAGAGGGATGGTTTCCTAAAAATAATAATAATAATAAAGAAAAGAAGGCTTTTTATCAGAAAGAGGTGTGTGGGCTGTGGCCTTGATAGAGTCAAAACGGATCACACTACCAGTTCTGTCCCACCGTCAGACACGGCTGCCGTGTGCATCGGGCTGGGGGATGGAGGAGGGAGCACAGGGAAGAGTAACCCAAGCCCGTTCCCGCCCCTCCCAGAGGGTTCTTACCCTTGCTCCCAGCCTCCACCCAGAAAACCAGAAGCTCCCAGAGCAGGAAAAGGACACCTACACACTCAGCAAAAGTCAGATCCGCCAGGTCCTAGTATCAGCCCTGGGAGAAGCGCTAACCTGCTTAGAGGAGGACCCAAGAGAGACCCGGACCTGCAGCCAGTGAGAGTGGGGAGACCCTGTCCCCCCAGTTGTCTTCCAAGACACTCTCCTGCGCGGCTAGGCCACCTCCACCTCCCCACCCGCTGCACCTTTCGATATCAAGCTCACCCGGCCCATTAGCGGGACGGAGGGAGGCTCGCAGGGTCCAGGGTCCGGAGGGCCTTGCGAACAGGCTGGCGTTCCGTTGCAGGCTTGGCGGAAGTACGACACAGACAGAAGCGGCTACATTGAAGCCAATGAGCTCAAGGTAGGATGGGCCTCGAGGAGGGTGTGAGGGGACGGAGATGGACCGGGGCCAGGTTGGGGGTGGTCTGAGGACCGTGGGGAAGGAGGAGACATTGTGTGAGGAGCGCGGATCTGGTCAGTTGAGACCAGCGACGGCGAACCTAGGACACGCGTGTCAGAGGTGACATGCGAACTCATTTTTTTGGTTGATTTTTCTTTGTTAAATGGCATTTAAAAACATAAAATAAATATCAAAAATATAAGTCTTTGTTTTACTATGGTTGCAAATATCAAAAAATGTCTATATGTGACACGGCACCAGAGTTAAGTTAGGGTTTTTCAAAATGCTGACACGCCGAGCTCAAATGGTTCGCCATCACCGGTTTAGACTCGGGTCTGGCGCCGGGCAGCCGAGTGAAATCAGGACCGTGGAGCTGGAGGGCGCAGAGTTCAACCACACCCACTGCCCCGCACACACTGCCCGGACCAGCACCCTAAGGCAACCCCAGCGATCGGCCTCTGGCTTGTCCGTCTTCCCCTGTATTCCTCGGGGACCAGGGACCCCAGGCCCTGCTTAGCCTGGGTCCTGGGCTCCCTGAGGAGCCAGAGCCAGTTTCCAATGCCTTTTCTATGGGGTGAGGCTGCGCCCAGGAGCCACCTCCAGGCCTCCAAGGTCACTCCACAAACATGAGAGGGTTCGGGGACTTGAGGGATGCAACTGTGTCAGTGGCAAGAAGGACTGAGCCATGAGGGACTGGCTCAGTCGGGAGCTCTGAAGGGGCCTTTTGCATTGCAGGGATTCCTGTCGGACCTGCTGAAGAAGGCCAACCGGCCGTATGATGAGCCCAAGCTCCAGGAGTACACCCAGACCATAGTGAGTGGGCAGGGGGTCCCCCCTCCCTGGGGGCGCAGGACGCGGGGCCAAGCCACTGAGGTTGTGGTTTGCAGAGTTCTGTGGGCTGATCCTTCGGGCCCCAGTGAAGTGACCCCTGGTGGCAGCTGGAGAAGGGACTCCAGCTCCTGGCCCCACACAGCCTCTCTCTGAGGCTCTCACTGAGACCAGGAGCATCTGTTTCCATGACAACCTCCGCAGCGCTGGAGAGGATAAACTTGGAGCGGGTGGGCCTTCGGGGCTGGCCTGCTGTCCCCTGCGGCGGGGAGAGAGGAACAGTGACCGAGTCCCGGCTGTCTCTCCCCAGTGACCCATCCAGACCAGGCTGGCCCCTGGCCCCCAGTGACCTCAGGGGAGGCATGAGCCTGCTCCACCCGCCGTCTTCCCTCTCCAGAAGGGTAAGGTCAGAGCCAGTAACCCGAGCATCTCTCTCTGTCCCCAACAGCTGCGGATGTTTGACTTGAATGGCGATGGCAAACTGGGCCTGTCGGAGATGTCGCGGTAGGTGCCCGCCCTCCGCCCCAGCGCCCTGTGCCCCCATCCCGACTCTCAGATCCGTCAGTGGGGCAGGCGACAGGTCAGGCCTCAGGAAGCTCCACGCAAAGCCAGATCGAATTGCGAAGGCCGCACCTCAGTGTGTCTGTCTGCCTCTTTGTAGAACTTCCCACTAACTCCAGATTAAGTGCTCAGCAATCATTTCCATAACTACAGGCTCGGCTCCTGCACCCCACCCGGGGGCGAGCTGTTCTCGCCTCTGCTCGGCCTCTAACCTCTGCTCGGCCTCTAACCTCTGCTCTCACATTTTCTTTCCAGACTCTTGCCTGTACAGGAAAACTTCCTGCTTAAATTTCAGGTAAAAGAGCCTCTTTGCTTTTCTTGGTTCCTCCCTTCCTCTCATCGCTCTGAGCTTCACCTTCCACCCCCCTGCCCCCCAACACACACACACACACACACACACACACACACACACACACACACACACGGGGCCTCTGCTTCTCTCTAACACCTTGGACCTTCCAGGGCATGAAGCTGAACTCAGAGGAATTCAATGCCATCTTCACATTTTACGACAAGGTACGAGGGAGGGCGGTGTGGGGTGGAAACCTGGAGGCCATCCCCAGGGCGTCCCCTGCCGGAATGGCTCCCCTTGGTCCTTGGGAACAGACGCGCTGTTGGGGGGCAGCTGGGGCCGTGAGGTTTCTTCCTGTCCCTTCTGATTCCCCGCAGCGTCCTCGCTGTGTGAGAAGATAAATGTCACCGCGATCCACGGCCTGTGGAACCCGAGGCTTGGGTTCCTTAAAGGCACAGAGAGAATCGTTCGTGGTAGAGCGTCTGTTCAGAGCTGGGGTGTGATAGGGTGCTGGGGGCCAAAGGCAGGAGGTGCCAGGACCGCTCTCCTGCCATCAGGTCCGGACGCCAGGTGTTTCTCTGGGACGTAGGGAATGAGAGGGTACCACCCACCTCGGCTTCCCCCGCCACACATACCGCCCAGCAGACTCCCAGGGTCTCTTCCTTATAACCGAAGGGCTGGGGGTAAGCTTCAGGGAGCCCCTGTCTTCATCCTGGCATCTTATTATGGGATGTGACACTCGGCTAAATGCCCCATGAATGCTTCTATTTCAATGCAAAGTAAAGACGCCCGCAGGAAGGGCTACCCAGAGTGCGCCCCGACACGTCCGCTCCTGAATGGCCTGGTGCAGTCGGAGTGACTGTTAGTTTGGCGCCACGCGGTCTGAGTACAGGGGAGGTTAGAAGGAACGGGTGGGGAAGCCAGGGGTGAAGCCTGCGGCCGTGGGGCTGACGGCTAGCGCTGTACTCACCCTGCGCCCGCCCCCAGGACGGCAGCGGCTACATTGACGAGAACGAGCTGGATGCCCTTCTCAAGGACCTGTACGAGAAAAACAAGAAGGTGAGCCGAGGGCCGGGGCCTGGGAGCGGGGCCGTGGAGGGCACTGTGCTCCCCTCTGACCAGCCACACAAGACAGAACCCCTGTTTTAGGCTGTTGTTTTGTTTTGTGTCTGGTTGAATAGTTGGTTGAAGGGATTATAGTTCTTTTTTATTGAACTATGGTAAATACACAACATAAAGCTCCCCATCCTACCCGTTTCCGCGTACAGCTCAGAGCTAGCAGATGCACGTATGATGCTGTGCCACCATCCACACCCGGGACTCTCTTCGTCCTGCAAAACTGAAACTCCATTCTCATCAACAGCTCCCAGCCCTTCCCTCCCCAGGCCCCGGCGGCCACGTTCTATCTCCTGTCTCCATAAACCTGACCAGCTAGGGGCCTCGCACGGGTAGAACACACAGTATGTTTTCTTGAGCCTGGCTTATTTCACTGGACACCCTCGAGGTCTGTCTGTGTTTAGAAGGCGTCAGAAGCCCCTCCTTCTGAAGGCTGGCGAGCCCTCCCCTGTGTGTTCACACCACGTAGGTCCCTCCCTCCTCACGATGTTGGCTGTTGTGTTGACTGGCCCAGCGCGTGGAAGTGCCGACCACATTGCCAACAACAACAAAAAAAGACTTTTTTTTTTTACACGAGGAGAGATTTTGGGAGGTGAAGGCATTCTGAGCCAATTCATGGCAGAGTCTGGAGCTGGGCAGGGGGCTAAGGGAGCCACAGACGCCTTTGTTCCCTCAGAGAAAACTCGGAGCCTGGGCTCCTTTCCTTTGCTGGGTCTGTTGCCGATAGGACAGACCCCAGGAGGCCTCCGAGGGGTCAGGTGCCCGGGGGGGGGGTCAGGTGCCTTGTAGGGGAGAGGTCAGAGGGACCAGAACCAGAGATGAGGCTTTGCAGCCGCCCTCCTTCACCTCCTGGAAACATCTTCCTCTGAGCAAAAGGTTGGCTGTTGGCTGTTTCCTTTAATTAGAAGGCGGACACTCTGCAATATCTTGCGTGTCTAACTGCCTTGGCTGCCAGGCAAGAGCTAAATTTACTGCTCAGTTTCGGATGGGCTTAGGCAGTGTGTCCAGGGGCCTGGAGGCAAGGCCAGGGAGCTTCCCGGGCACCCGCTCCCTCGCCCTCAGGGGCACAGAGCGAGCAAAGGCGGCCCGTGAGGGGGAGGTGGCGGGACTTGTAGAAGTTGGCACGGGTGACGGCTGTCATCACCATAGCTGCCCTTTTTAGAATCCGTGCTCCGAGTCAGGTACGGGGCTAAATGGTGTTCACATCCGCTCCCTCGTCTAGTCGTCACGACACCTCCGGAGGCGAGGGCCATGCGTGTGCCCATTCCACAGGCCAGGCCGCTGAGACCCAAGTAGAATCCTTTCCCCGAAGCAGCGCACCGGCGAGTGAAGAAGGGCTTTGCACCCCTCTAAGCCCCCCACTGCGATGGGATCCGCGGAAGGGCCCGCCCTGTGCTGTGAATGAGCCGATGGGCGGTTTCTGCGCGGCCACCCACTGAGCCGGCTCTCACCCTCTCTCTGTGTCTCCTAGGAGATGAACATCCAAGAGCTCACCAACTACAGGAAGAGCGTCATGTCCTTGGCCGAGGCGGGGAAGCTCTACCGCAAGGACCTGGAGATTGTCCTCTGCAGCGAGACCCCCCTGTAAAGGGGCGACGGAGGCGGCCTCTCCTCCCCCCCAGACCCTGCCCCGCGGCCCTGACACCCCTCCCCCGACCCCGGGATCTTGGGCGCTCCTCCCCATGCCCCTGCCACCTGCACAGCAGGAAAGGAGAGACGAGGATGGGCAGCTGACAGGCCTCCCGGAGCCCCCCTCCAGCCTGGCCCTGGCCTGACCGGCTGGGCTCTGCCTGCAGGGGGCACCGACCAGGCCTGGGAGGTGGGCAGGGCGCGGTGGGGGGTTCCCGGCTTCTCTTCGCTGTGATGCATGAGCGCATTTGCTGTGTAATTTAGGCTTCTGTGTCCAGCTGGGTGGACCCTTCCCTCCTGCTCCCCGGCGCCTCCCTGCAGGCCACCGCCCACCCCACACTTGCTGATGGTGTAGCTGTCCTCTCAGAGCTCCTGTGTGTGGGGGGCACCGCCCCTCCCCTGTCTTCTCCACTCAGCATGCTCCTCTCTCCGGGCTTCTTGTCTTCTTGTTCACCAAAGAAGAGTTTACAGTCAATAAAGTGGAAACGTCTGCTGGTCGAGCGCTCAGCTTCTCTCTAACCGGCTCGCCGCACCTCCTGACCAGGGGGGAGCCTGGCCTCGCGTGGGTGGGGAGGGGCGTCAGGACCCCCAACTGGGGCGTAACCGCTGGAAACGGGGCCGTAGGACCCCAGAGCTCTGGGCTTTCACTTAGGAGTCACCGCCTGCCTCCGTCACCTGTCACTTCTTTGCTCCTTGCTTGTTCCTCCATCTCCGGGATTGTGCTAAACAGTGTATCTGAGGGGTTTCTCTTAACCCTTTGGAGAGGTGCTGGGGTTGTCTCCTCTGCACAGGCAAGGAAACTGGAGATAATGACGAGCCCCGAGCCTCGCGGCCAGTTGGGGCCCGAGCCAGGGCACGACCCCCGCAGGTCAGAGCCCCATTCTCTCTCTACAGTAGGGATGCCATGGGCTGGGGCACAGTGGGACGGAGTGATCCCCCCAATCAGCCGGGGGTGCGGGACCACCACCAACCGAACTTCTCCTCCTCAGAGGGCGCTTCACCTCACACCACCCCGCAGATGCCCCCGGTGTGGGACGCGCTCAGCCTTCGGGGCCACGGGGCTGAGATGCAAGGGTAGAGAGCTGCTGTTTTTAATGCTCTCGCTTATTGACTGTCTACAAGGTGCGTTTGACATTTCCTCGTTTGATCCCACAACCATCCCATGAGATGGGTACTATTTTCGGATGAATAAATTAAAGCTCAGAGGCATTAAGTAACTTGTTCAAGGTGATGCAACTCCTGAGGGGCAGGGCTAGGACTCAAGGGCAGGCTGGGCTGACCCCGAGGTCACCTTGGGCGCTGTCCTCTGAGGGCCAGGAACCCGTCGGGAGCAATAGGCCACCGAGGGGTGGGTGTGGCTGGGTCGGACCTCAGCCCCCGCTCCTTCCCGGCCACACGCCTTGCTGAGCTCAGAGAAGCCGTCCTGCTCACAGCCCGGACGGTGCAGCCCAGTGAGCCACCGTCTGACCTCCGTCCGCCCGCCCACGGCCGCCTGGGCCAAGCGTGGACACGTGGCCAGCGAGAGCCCCAGAATCTCGGGCTGAGGCCCAGGGCTCTCGGTGGGACATGCGGTACTGAAGCTAGTTGGTGACACAGCCCTGAGGGTCAGAGGTGGCACATGGCAGTCCGAAAGCAAGCCTGGGCCGGTGCTGGGAAGAGCAGAAACAAGGAAAATCAGCAGCAACAGTGGCACCAAAGCCAGAGGGAGCCAGTTCAGAGGGGGGAGGTGCAAGTCAGTCGAGAGAGGGAGACGTGAGAAATAAAGCCCAAGGCCCGGTCGGCGTGGCCCCGGGGTGCAGCATCGACCTGTGAACCAGGAGCTCATGGTGCGATTCCCCGTCAGGGCACGTGCCCAGGGTTGTGGGCTCGATCCCCAGTGAGGTGCGTGCAGGAGGCAGCCAATCCATGATTGTCTCTCATCATTGATGTTTCTCTCTCTCTCTCTCCCTTCCTCTCTGAGATCAATAAAAATACATTTTTTTAAAGAAAGAAAGCTCAAGGACCAGACAGGACCTGCTAGTGAAGGGCCCTGGGCCCACGGGGGGGTTGGGATTTCACTCTTTTCCCTGGCTGCTTTGTGACGCCTCCTTCTCCTCCTTTCAGTCTTGTCCCAACTGGCCCCTTCTTAGTGAGGCCCGCGGCCCCCGTTCCCCTTTGCCCCCTCCCCCCACCGCCATAGCCCCTCCAGGCGCATCTTTCTCCACAGCACTATGACCCTGGGCCCCATGTGTGTTCCGGCCACCTGCCCCCCAGCACCCCACCCCACCCCACGCCCAGCTAGAACTATCTCAAGGGGGGTGCTCCCACCCTATTGCTCTGCCAACACCTGCTCAACCCACACTCCTGCTGATCGATGATTCTCTCTCTTCATTGATGTTTCGAACTCTCTCTCCCTCTACCTTCCTCTCTGAAGTCAAACCTCCTCCTCATCTAGGGCCCCTCAACTCCCCAGAGCAATGGCCCCAGAACACGTCTGAGCCCTAATCCCCGGACGTAGTAAATCCACTGTTACCCGGCAAAGCAGAACTAAGGCTTTGTTCCAAGCAGCTGGCCTTAGGGAGTGTGTCCTGGGCGATCCAGGTGGGCCTGAGCATCGGAGGGCCCCTGGGTGTGGAAGACAAAGGCAGGTCAGAGTGACGCGGGCGAGAGGCTCAGCCAGCCTTCCAGGTGGAGGCGGGAAGCACCTGGAAACCAGGCCAGGCAGGACCAGATTCCCCCGGAGAGCCTGCGACTCCTCCTCGACCGCAGCCCATGGTGGACTTCGACGCCCAGAGCTGCAGGAAAACGCATCCATGTTGTTTTAAGCCACCAAGTTTGTGGTCGTTGGTTACAGCAGCCACAGGAAGTAAACACACAGGCAGAAACATGTTCCTGCCCCCGCCCCCCTTCCTGTCACAGCATGGAGTGTGGTGAGGACGAGTCTTCCTCCGTGTTCCTGTGAGGACGGAGGCGATCCGAGGTGCGCACACACGTAGCACCGTGCCTGGCACACAGCGCGGCCAAGGGGCAGCTGTGGGGGTACATTCACTGGGGCTGCTGCCTCTACCTCCAGCCGGGCGTCCTGGGGCTGCCCAGGGCTCAGAAGGACCCGGTTGGTTCCAAATCTGTGCAATCCTACACCCCTGCCACCCCTCAGAGAGGACGCCGCCTGGTCCCCTGCCTCCTGCGTCGGGGACGCGAGCCCTCCAAACCTGGCCGACACCCCAAGGGAACAATTCTGTCTGCCCCACCCCGAGGCTCACCTGCACACAGGGATCCCATGGCAGGGGCTGGGCGGATGCTGAAGAGCTGGAGGTGCTGGAAACGGCCCAGAAGCCTGGCTCAGGGGCTCGTTCCTCCTTACACCCGTCCTCTGCTTCATTCAGAGACCACAGTCTGCTGGGAGAACTTGGCCAGACAGCCCCCCTTGGGTCTCAAGTCCCCCATCTGTAGCATGGGAAGCTTGGAACGAACGGTGTGCAAGTACCTCAACATCTTACCTCCTGACACTTCACGGAAGAGCATATATCAATAGCAAACACAGGTATAAAAGGTGATGGACATCATTAACCATTAGGGAAATGCAAAACCACAATGAGCCCAGCAGGCGTGGCTCAGTGGTTGAGCATCGACCTATGAACCAGGAGGTCACGGTTCGATTCCCAGTCAGGGCACGTGCTCAGGCCGCAGCTTGATCCTCCTTGTGGGGCGTGCAGGAGGCAGCTGATGAATGATTCCCTCTCATCATTGATGTTTCAAACTCTCTCCCTCAACCTTCCTCTCTGAAATCAATAAAAATATGTATTTTTAAAACACACAATGAGATGCCACTGCACACCAATGAAAAACCAGAGATAATTTTGAAAAGTTTTATTTCCATTTACAAGAGCAGAGTCTACAAAATCGGTGTGGGTTACAGGGAGCTGAAGAAGAGACGAGGCTTCCTCACAGAGCCAGAAACCCAGCATTAAATCAACAGGAGCAAGAGTTTAAATACCCACAGGGAACTCCTGCACCCCTCCCTGCACGCCGACCTCGTCCACTCTCGTTCCGCTGGATCTGGGTTAGCGTCGGCTTTCACGAAGCCGTCTGCTTCTGGACTAAGACGAGCCCTGGACACCCTGGCTCGGTCCTCGGTCGAAGGGACAGTCTGAGAGCTGCTTAAGTCATGGCAGCTCAGAGGCCTGCACCCAGAGTCCATCCTTAGAGCAGCGGTTCTCAATCTGTGGGTCGTGACCCCTTTGGCGGTCGAACGACCCTTTCACAGGGTTCGCCTAAGACCATCCTGCATATCAGATATTTACATTACGATTCATAACAGTAGCAACATTACAGTTAGGAAGTAGCAACGAAAATAATTTTATGGTTGGGGGTCACCACAACATGAGGAACTGTATTAAAGGGTCACGGCATTAGGAAGGTTGAGAACCGCTGCTCTAACCAATAAGGTCAGCGCGGAGGACGGACATTTCTCCATCAGGATACAGTACAGAACTATTTCATGACTTTAATGGGTGTTTCCCCTGAGGGTAAACACACGTGGGCAGAGGGGACTGACAAATCCGCCAGGGACTCCCCGTAAAACGTACACTGTCTAAAATACGTTAACATTTCGTCCATATAAGCTTAGCCTCAGGAAGGCTGAACATGTCTTCTGATCTGACAACTCTCCTCATGCAAATCTTACAATAGTAACTCATCACACAAACCCAATCGTTCCTGGCATCTCTCTTAATGAGGTGCAAAAACAAATGCCTGTGCTTTTCCAGGGCTCCCCTGGGCAACCTCAAAGACCATCGGAAAGTGTCAAAGACATCCTGAATGTTCCCTTCCATTTTTTTTCTGTATTTATTAAAATATTTGGGAAGGCAAAATCTAAAGAATTGTCAGAAGAGATCCAGACTCCTGATTAATATGTGAGCACAGGTGCCTGACAAACAAACCTGCTTACCCGTTTAATTAAGTGACACAATTTAAAGGAAAACAGACCCAA